AATTGTACCCCAGACTGACATGCTCTGAACCAAATAGCAATTTAAAAGGTGACGACAGAAGCAATTTTGGCAACTAACATGTGAACCTTGGGGTTGAGGTAGATTCTTTTTTGCTTTCAAAAAATATTTAAGTTAAGTGTACACCCGGTGAGGGGCTCAGACCTACAACTCCAAGATCAAGACTTGCGTGCTCTTCCAACTGAGCCAGCCAGGTGCCCTGAGATGTTTTTAAATGAATGTATTAGACCCTCCAAATATTCAAATTTAATTGTTTTAGGAAAAGGCATTGTTTGTGTTGAACCGGGGAAGAGCAAAGAAAATTATCAAGCACCGACTGCATGTTTATCTTAACACACAGTAACATCTGATTCCTAACCCACACTCCTTTCTCCTCCGTATCATTCAGCAAATATTAATATCAAGATCTTAGAGCAATGGCAGATGTTATCATGTGAACATTCCGATAGACCTGGTTCAGCAGAGTGGTGGTTGCATGCCTTGTAGGGCTCCCCTGGGAAGCCTCCTCTGCACCTGCAAACGAGCCTTGACTGACTGTATCCTTATGCTGTGGTCACTGTCTCCTGAGGCTAGCGGTTGATTAAAATCCACATTCGCTTCTTTGTCTTAGATAGGGAAACTCCTTTGTAGCAAGAATCTAGTCTGTCTGCCCTCCCTCCGTCCCTTCCCTCCCCTCCTTTTATAATGTTTATTTATTTTTGAGACAGAGTATTGGTCAGAGGGGCAGAGGGAGGGGGAGACACAGAATCCGAAGCAGGCTCCAGGCTCCGAGCTGTCAGCACAGAGCCCAATGCAGGGCCCAAACCCACGAACTGTGAGATCATGACCTGAGCCGAAGTCGGACGCCCAACCGACTGAGCCACCCAGGCACCCCTTTCTGCACTCTTTAAAATAGACTGTGTGTAATTTAAAAAGTATGTAATTTTAAGAGATGGATATAATTAAATGTCCCCTGACTTTGGCCACTTACTTACCTCTTTATCACTTTTCAAGCTGTTCTTTTTTTTTTTTTTTAAATGTCATGAGGTATTCAGTCAAACTGCTCTGCTTTTCTTCTAAATTTTACCAAAAGTCTCTCTGTGGCACCCCCTTTCACCTGTTCGTGGCATTTTCAAACTCCCTTGGTGGCACTTAGAAGTAAAACTGCTGCTGACTTGTGGTCTGTGACACACAGATACAGTCTGAGACGTCAGAAGCATCCCTCCAAGATGGCATTTGTCATTGTTTTCTCTATCCATGAGCACGGGAGGGAGAGGTATGTGCTTATAGGGAGAGTCAGGGAGCATATCCTCTTGATTCAAAAGTTTAGAAACCACAGCTAGATCCTTTACAAAGAAGGAACACATGGGGCGCCTGGGTGGCGCAGTCGGTTAAGCGTCCGACTTCAGCCAGGTCACGATCTCGCGGTCCGGGAGTTCGAGCCCCGCGTCGGGCTCTGGGCTGATGGCTCAGAGCCTGGAGCCTGTTTCTGATTCTGTGTCTCCCTCTCTCTCTGCCCCTCCCCCGTTCATGCTCTGTCTCTCTCTGTCCCAAAAATAAATAAACGTTGAAGAAAAAAATTAAAAAAAAAAAAAAACAAAAAAACAAAGAAGGAACACAGTAGGAGTTGTCGTATCTGCAGCGTAATCTACAGTCACTGGAGTAGCACAGAAGCCATGTATTTGGAAATTTTGTTTTTCAGTAGTTGCATACTCTGTTTTCATAAATAGCTCTTCGGGGCATGGAACAGAATCTGCCTTTTTGATCTAAGGGATATTTCATGGCTGAGTTCTTCCTTTCTTATGAAAAGTTACATGATATATTTAGTCTGGCTTTATGGTATGCGTACATGCTTCCTCAGCCTTTTGCCTATTGCATGTGTTTTTAAAAATGGGGCGCCTGGGTGGCTCAGTCGGTTAAGCGCCTGACTTCCACTCAGGTCATGATTTCACCATTCGTGAGTTCGAGCCCCCTGTCGGGCTCTGCGTTGACAGCTAGGAGCCTGGGGCCTGCTTCGGATTCTGTGTCTCCCTCTCTCTCTGCCCCTCCCCCAACTCTCTCTCTCTCAAAAATAAATAAAGATTACAAAAACAGTGGAAACAAGATTAACGATAATACATACTTAGGTGAATGCCATACTAGTTACAAACTCCATTTCTTTGTGTCGTTAGTTTTATATTTGTTTTTTAAAAATTTTCTATTTTAGAAGTTGTAATTTGACTTCTAATTTGACTTTGAGATAACATCTCTTTTTCTGTGACCTCTTCCACAAGAATATTGTGGTAAAACCATGAGGAATTTCTGTTGTACTGAATGTTTGGACGTGCATGTCTGTCACCATGGTAGTAAACAGACTTCAGCACCGGGTTAGCTCCTAGTGCCTTTCCTCTTCCACTGAAGACTCTGAATCTTAACTTAGGGCAGAGATTCAGAACCTGAGAGGCATAAGACTAGTTTTTAGAAACTAAAACACGGGAGTGAGTCTGTGGTTTCCAGTGGGTCGTAGGAAATCGAGATCTGCGTCGTGAAGTTTTGTTCATTTCACCTTGTTTTCATGTCAGTATGCTGTCCTTCTGTGGGGTGGCCTGGAACGCAGCAGCTCTGACTTCCATCATTCACTCCATAAAGGGTAGTAATAAACAGCTTGTTTCAGAGTCGCCAGGAATTGTTAAGAACGCCTTGGAATTATGTAAGTTACTCGGCTCTCCTGTGAGGTGCCGCACTGGGGTTAGGATGCTTGGTAAGGGTTGTGTGAGAGGGGCTGGACCCTCAAGTGGGGCTCCTGTTCCCATAGCATGGGGATCCAGGACTGCAGTCGCCGTGGTCCCTCTCCGAGGGCTCTGCTGCCAGGGCTTCGGGGGGTGGGGTGGGGGGGAGAGGCAGTGGAATGGTGGAAAGCACGTGTTTTCTTATCTGGTAGCGATAGAAGGGGGATCTTCTTTTCAGATCCTTGTAGATTGGGATCTACAGCTGGGGCTTACTGCTTCCTGTTTCTGTCCTTGGATGTGCTGCCTCCTCATTTGTCTGGGGCCCATAGCACTTTGTGCTGCTAACGGGACTTTGCATACTATGCCTGGCTATAGGTATTTATAAACTTGTCTTCTTGAGAGCCACTGTGTCACCTAATTGCTCTTTGTGTTTGCCCGACTGACGTCTCCGTCCACGCCAGATGGACTTGAGATGTAATCTGTCTTTGTCGATGGATCCTGTGAATTACCCAGTGACAGCAGTGAGTTGCTGAGACTAGATTGCCTCCATTCAAGAGCTTTGAAGGGACCTTAAGGATGAAATTGCAGAACTCTTGGCTCTTATTTTGCCGTTTATAAATAGCCACTGTTTTAAAAAAAGCTTGGTGGTTTGCCAGCACGGAGCCTGGTATATTGGAAAGCAAAGTGGCCTGATGACGCGGGGGCATGGGTTCTGTGTTGAGCCCTTTCATGACCAGAGCGGAAACGCCGCTGTGTCTCTTGGACCTTGGGGTCCTCATCGCGATGTGTTTGTTGCTGTCTTTGTGCAGAGTCTCTGGTGATTGTCAGTATCATGCTTAATCCTGTTAAATTGGGTTCTTAGTATACAAGTATTCCACGGGCAGGAGAGATTTACTTAATCAAATTACACCATTAATTTAGCCATTCGTTGCTTCTGTGAATGATATATTGCAGCTGCTGGATTCTGTTATATTCTTCCCCAAAGTGCTGACTTTGATACTGTCTGCTTGGGTTGTCAGGCTGCAAATTTGGCTGGACTCAAGCTTCAAATACGCCTCCTTTGCGGGGGTCTGCGACCTGAGTCTCAGTCACATACTTTATCTTCAGCCGAGAGCTTTCCCTGGACAAGTGAGGCTCAGGGGAGAGCCAGAAATTTGGGCCAAAATGATACCCAGAACTTGGGGCTCCCCTGCTCCTTTCCGCAGCTTCTCCCCAGCTACTGGGGTTGCCCTGACCTGTGTTCTGGTTCTGGTGTTAGCAGCTCCACATGGCTTAGCCTAGGCCCTGTCCTCAGGCTAAAAGCCCCGGTCAGATGCTCCCGGTGCCATTCCTTTCTTTCCAGGTGGGTCTCCTGCTCTTGGGCACCCTGCAGGGCCTCGAGACGGTTGAGTTGTACAGCTTTCCTCTGTGGCAGGGCTGGTCCCATAGGGGCTGTTCAGACCTGCCACGGCGGAGGCCCTGTTCGTTCAGCGAGTGCTTCCCTTGCTCTCATCCCAGGTCTGCATCTTGTGTTGTGTTACCAAGCTGCCGTCCTGGAGCGTTCCTTGTACTATTGTGGCAAAAACAAGCAGGAAAATAGCGATGGGCCAGTGGTCTTTTATTTTTCCTAGAGACTGCTCAGCCAGAAATGATAGTTACTGGTTTTGATGAGGATGGCCAGCATCCTGAACCTAGATTTCCTCTGTTAGAGACCTCCAGGGGAACTATCCTGAGGCATTATTATGGGAATGAACATTTTTGCCCCAGACTCCCATTTGGGCATTTGCCCTAGTGAGCTGGGCCAGACACATCGGGCTGCATGAATTCCTTTTGCTCAGATGGATGTTGGCTTGGCCTAAATTGCTTGCTGTGTGCTTCTTTTCCATGATACCTCTACTTACCTTCTGCAATATTGGGCATGGGGAGAGTTGGTTCACACAGAGAAGAGGGCCTTTACAGGTGGCATTGGGCCATTTTACCCCAGTAGCCAGTGACATTCCTCCAGGGGGGGCATGACCCAGAAAGCCTGGAAGGATAGAGCCTAGAGGGAGCTGTGGCCAGTCCCCAGCTATTTATAATTCCTGCTCTTCTCCTTGCCACTGTTTATTTTTAACCACTGTGGGTTCTGATAGGAGGAGACTTTGAGCTCCCCCTACGGGCTTTAGTGTGCACCAGCTGCAGTGTTTAAAATGTGATATTGTTGTTTTATTTGCCAATGTTTACATTAATCTACAGGATTCAAGTGAAGATTTTTGAAATCATCCGGACTGGTTTCATACCCTGTGTTTTTTTGGGACTAGATCTTTATTGCTACAAATGACCCGGAGCCTGTTTGGTACGGGATCCTCTGGGTCTGTGTGCAAATCATTATTTGCCATTAAAATAGAAGATAATTCTGTGATCAGAGTCTTTTCCTTCATAGAATTCAGATCCTTTCAAATGATATTTCTAAAGTTGATTTAATGGGTGTGAATAAAGCTGCTATATTGGGAAAGGATAGAATGGGTAAGAAATGAAATGTCACTCAAGCAACCTAGTAATTTGATTTTCTCCTTATGTATTTCAGGGTTTCGAAAAAACGATGAAATGAAAGCTATGGATGTTTTGCCAATTTTAAAGGAAAAAGTTGCATACCTTTCAGGTAAAGTTGAACTTTCTGATCTGTGTTACTGTTCCTTTTGACTACTTCTGATACAGTATCAGAGTCTGAAATCCTAAACTAACGCCCCTGCCACATGCATGGAAGTGCTGATGTTCCAGTGGATTTTTAACTGCTTTGTTCTTGTAGTATTTTCCTGAGAAGTTAGTGCCAAGAGCATTTTCTTCTAGCTTGTAGGCACACTAAGTCAAATAGCATTGGTGATTAAAATATGTTTGTGTCTTTCATTCAGCAAACATTTGGTTGTTTTTCACTTATTCAGTTAAGTAAAACAACTGATTGTTTAGAAGTCCATTGTCTCTCTGAAAGTGATGGGAATATGACCTTATGTGGATGTGTCCTGAATTCTTACCTTGTTTTTTTTTTTTTTTTTTTTTTTTTTTTGTCCCCTAGTCCTGGGGTTCCTAGAGCCCATGTTGTGGACCATCAAAGCCCCAGTGATCTCTACCAACCTGGTCCTCCACTTACCTGTAATACTTGTGCTGGGGTTGGGGGTCCCTGGCCCCCTGCAGTGTGGTGACAGTCTAGATCTGTCTCTCAGGTTTGGAGCATCTGACTTCCTCCACACATAGGGAGTCAGCTCTAGGGCTTTTTTGGGCTGTCTCTTTGGGGGTTCCCTCCTACACGAACAGAGGAGCCGTTGGGGACTTGACCTTTTTGGCACAAGTTCATTTGTTGCAAAACCAAGGTTTTCAGATTTTTCTGCTCTGTTACAGCAGGAAGTAAATGTGTGGATTGCCATGTGCTTTTAGACAGTCTTCCTGTATGTGTTTCCCCTGATAATTTTTTATCTTTCTCAAACAGGCATGATACGCTGATCTGAGTCTCCTTTTGAACACATTTTATTTTAAATGTATAATGCTGCCAGCTGCTATTATGTGTTAGGTGTGTCCTTTTGGCATGTGGGACTGGTCTATATTTAGGGTGCAGCTCCCTGTGGTGCTGTTACTAATCACACCTTTATGGCCAGTGGTGTTTCCTGGCACCTCGTAAACACTCTTTGATGATTTGGCTGAAGTGAATCTAATTCAGAATGCATTTGGAAGGTTGATAGAAGTTTGTGAAAAGAAAGACACTTCAGCTAGTTGAGAATATATGCTACAAGAGAAAACAAAACAAAAGTAAAGAAACCTCTCCTTGCTTATAATACACCAAGTTTTTATTTATTTATTTATTTATTTTTTTGACGTTTATTTATTTTTTTTGGGACAGAGAGAGACAGAGCATGAACGGGGGAGGGGCAGAGAGAGAGGGAGACACAGAATCAGAAACAGGCTCCAGGCTCTGAGCCATCAGCCCAGAGCCCGACGCGGGGCTCGAACTCATGGACCGCGAGATCGTGACCTGGCTGAAGTCGGCCGCTTAACCGACTGCGCCACCCAGGCGCCCCATACACCAAGTTTTTAAAGTACCCTTTGCTCTTTCCTAATCATTTACCGACAAACTGCATAATGTGGACGCATGCCACAGTTTGTCAGTTCCTGATTTGTAGCTTACAGATGGATTTTAAAGTTAATATAATGAGAAGCCTCTGCTTACAAATAATAGAGGCATCAGTAAGAAGGCTCAAAGCCAGTTCACGTGTTCCTCAGTTCTTTATTTTTAAAGTTGATCTGTGGTGAGAGAGCTTGATTCTTTGGTTAAGCTCCTGGAGACAGGCACGTAAAGAACGGGAGGCTAGGGTTGCTGATTTTTATTTATACTCATTCCTTATTAGGCTCTTAATACAGAATATCTCATTTGATGTTTCCTTTTTTTAAGGCTTTATTTATTTTGAGAGACAGAGAACAAGCAGGGGGTGGGGCAGGGGTGGAGAGAGAGGGAGAGAGAAGGAGAATCCCAAACAGGCTCCACGCTATCAGTGCAGAGCCCATTGTGGGGCTCGATCCCACAAACGATGAGATCATGACCTGAGCTAGATCAAAGTCAGATGCTTAACCGACTAAGCCACTTAGGTACCCCTCATTTGATGTTGTTGTTGTTGTTGTTGTTGTTGTTTTTATCTAAGTTACTATCAAAGCTGAAACTATTTCCCTTTAAACTAATTGAAGGAATAAAGTCTCATTTGTCTTTCAGAGTTTATCCTGACTACTCAAACCTTAAATTCTTCAGGGTTAATTAAAATTGGGTCTTTTTAGTGGGGAGGGAAGTTCACTGTAGCAAACTAGTACAGAACTTTAAAAATATTAGAGACGGTAGTCACCAGCTGTGTCAGGGAAATGATTGGTGGGTGCCACCACAATTGTAGAGTATTTCCTACTTTATAACCAGAATTGGCGAGTTATGTTAGCATGATATCATTTGCTGATTTTCTTAGGCTTGCTGTTATTTTGCTTAGGAAGGAAAAATGGAAAAAAAGCACTAACTTAAAAACAAATTTGTTACTTTTGCATGGTGATTTTTTTTTTATGTGAAAGGTTGACAATGAAGGAGTAAACTTCTGAAAAATTTATACCTCTAATCCTGTTTAGTAAAATCTGTTTTATTGAGATATAATCCACATACCATAAAATCTGTCCTTTAAACGTATATGATTTGGTGGATTTTAGGGTATTCACAAGGTTGTGAAACCATCACCATGGTCTAATCCCGGAACACTTTGATTGCCTCCGAAAGAGCCCCTACCCGGTCCCCATTTCTTCTACTGCTGGGCTCCCAACTGCCAGTCTACTTCTTGCTCTGATCCTGTTTTTAAAAGTATTAGGGGATATTTATTGTGGTGCATTTGTAAAAGCTCTCCATATGAGTAGTTTTTAGTAAATTAAATCTAAATGGAATAACCAGGGCTTTGAAAAAGCAGGCCAAAAGATCAGTGATTCTGGGAGTTACTTATTAGGTCAAAATCTCTAAAAAAAAAAACAAAAAACCAAAAAAACCCAGTAGGGATTCTTTGAACTTGAATATTTCTGATCCTCAGTCTCCTCGCCAGCTACTGTAAAAAGCAGATACGTAAGAGAGCAAAGTACTTACCAGCTCCTGCAGACGGTGTGTTAAATGAGGTTAGATGACAAACCTGATTTCATGCTTCAGGTCAGAAGTAGGGGCAATAAAAGAAGTGTTTTATAGTTTATATTTAACATTTTATTTAATGTATATGTTAATGTATAATACATACCATGTATGTGTATACTCAACCACTAATGTGATTCCTATGCCATTGGGGTTTGGACCTCAAAAGAATTCACTGACCACCACCAGAGTTAAGAACACTTTTTTCCCCTTTTTATCATAAAACATTTCAGCATCCAAAAGGAGAGAGAATAGTATAATGAATTTCCATGAATCCATGGGTCACTCATCTATATTCCTTAAAAAAAACCTCAGTACGATTAACGGCTTTAAAAAATGGGCAGTAATTCTTTAATATAAAAAGAGGCCAGGCAATATTCAAACATCCTTGCTTGTCTCACAATTTGTTTTATAGGATATACATTGCAATTGGTTCTTCTGACTGTTTCTCTCAATCTATAGGTTCTTATTCCTTATCCTTGTATTTATCTTATCCCCTGTGTTAACTATTAGGTGAGGAAATGGTGTTTTCCTGTAGAGTTCCCTACATTGTAGCTTTTGCTGGTTGCACCTGTGGGTGGTCAGTTACTATGCTCTCCTTCCCCTGTCTTTCCTGTAAACTAGGAGCTGGGTCTTGAGGCTTGATCAGACCTAGCTTAGATTTTGCAGGAAGAAGGCAAAAATCAAGAATCCTTACTGGGTGGTGGTGGGTAGTCCTACTGGGAGTTGTATTTGTGTGTGGTGCAGGGTGGGGTGGGGGTTGGCTGTTTCTTTTTCTTTGATGTTAAGCATTCATTGATGATCATGGTTTAGAATCTGGTATTTTATTACAGTTCATTATGTAATGCAAAATGGTGACATTCTAATTGCATCCTTTTTTTTTTTTTTTTTTTTTTTTTTTTTTTTTTTTTTGAGAGAGGGAGAGGGAGAGAGCATTCGTGCACCTATAAGCAGGGGAGGGGCCGAGGGAGAGGAAGAGAGAGAATCCTAAGCAGGCTTTCCACTCAGTGTGGAGCCCGACTCAGGGCACAATCTTATGACCAAAAGATTGTGACCTGAGCCAAAATTGTGAGTTGGGTGCTTAACTGACAGAGCCACCCAGGCACCCCACATCCTTTGTTCTTTATCGGTTTGGATATTCTACAAGAGAAGTATCCCTTCATCAGTTTCTTGGTTACCCTGAGAACACATTTAATACAAGAAAAGTAGGAAAAATGATTGATTCTTATCAGTTTTCAGATGAATTAAAATGACCGTTAGTCATTTCAGACTGATAAAAAAAAAACCTGTGATTTTTAATATTTGATGTGTTTCAATTACAGTTTTTTTCATCTCTTATGAAGTTAAATTTTTCTCTTCTCTGGGGCACCTAAGTGGCTCTGTTGGTTGAACGTCCAACTTTGGCGTGGGTCATCATCTTGGGGTTGAGTGGGTTACTATCTCTGCTCCCCCTGTGGACACATCCAGGCAATATGTGTATATATATTGTGTGTATATGTATATTTTCTTAATAAGAAAAGATGTCATGACTTTATACTAAAGTTTCTAATGCAAATTTAGGATTACAGGTATCATATGTTTCTTTGATTTTACATTTGTGTCTCCTTTATAGTGAAAATCTTAGTGCCTGCCCTCATCAACATAATTGTGTGTTTACGTTGTAATGCCAATGTTACTGCTACACTATGAGACCCTGAATGTAATTTGATACTTCTGTTCTTGTTTTATTGTCCTAAGGGTATATGCCCCTGGGAACATACAGTCCTGCTGCTGTGTCATGAAAGCCCGTAGAATATGGGATTGTCTCTGTGCGGCAAGTTACTGACAACTTGAAACTCCACATCATTTGTTTCGTTTCATTTTACATTTTTAAAGCTTAAAAAAACAACCACCCCGTCTTGCTTCAATGTGCACATCATTCCAGGCTTAAAATCTAAAAAAAGTTAAAGTACAGAGAAATGTTTCTCTCCCTG